CCCCCTTCCCTCCCCCCTCCTCTCCCAACAGGTTCTCCCCGACCTCCTGGGCCAGGACTCGTTCCAGTTCTCCTTTGACAGTAACAGTAACGGCCAGATGGGATACATCATCAAGAACTACCGTGCCGTGTTGGACAGTGAGAAGTCTCGCTACAATGGTTCCAGTTACGCTGCTTTCCCCGTAAGACTTTTTAGTAAACATGGAGAAGTAATCATTGACCAGCTGTTAAAGTAATCATTGGCCAGCTGTTAAAGTAATCATTGGCCAGCTGTTAAAGTGTACAAAATGTTTTACTTTTTATAAATTGTGGTTTTTTAATCAGTGATAAAGGTTGCATGTGCTCGTGAAATATTTTGTTGAAATTGAAATTCTGAATTTTGTAAAAACCAACCCCGCTCCACCCCCAAACCATGATTTAGATATGATTTCTTAAAAGACTGAAACAGTTCTTTCTGTATTCTGAAAAATTTTGTTGTTTGGGCTTAATAAATTTTAGCAGCATGCCGATGAGTTACTGCTCAACTTGTGCCTGTATTTTAATTTCCACTGAACGATTTGATATAAAAAAAACCTATCAAGATAACTGTTGCATATCCCAAAGTTAAAATTTACTACAGTAGTCTCTGGTTAAACGTACGAAGTCATCTCAATTCTTTGATATTTTATTGATTTCCCTAGGGAGTGGGGGTCACTTTTTCCGATAATCTGACGACACGTGACTGTTTTGTGAAGGATTTCCCGAAAGCGGTTAAGAATACAAAGGCATTGAATGGGGGGGGGGGGGGGGGGGCAGAAAGACAGACTCAATGTAATGATATGCACCATAAGATGTCGGGAACAGAAAGCCTGAGGAAACTGTTGTTGATAGTCATTGAGATGGCTGCGCAGCCACGTGGCTTTCCAAGCGACAACCGCCAACCGTAAATTCATGAACGACATTATTTAGAATCATAAATCTCTACGTTCAGAGAAATATATCTCTTGTTATTCGTTGAACAAGTACGTTATGTTATAAGTTCCTCGAGCGCAGCTGATAGGCTTACTTGACTAATCTTTGATCCGATGGAGGCCTATCGAGTGTTTTACAGCATTCACACGTGTTGCGCATTATAGGTCTAGGTCTACTAAAAATTACATACAGTCTCCCAAACACCAGTCAGAAATCTTCTCTCAAAGATGCATTTCCAGTGACCTATCAAAAAACATTTTCAGTCCCCCGACCCCCCCAACATTTTACCGACCAGTCCCAGACCTATGTGTATGTGGAAAGTTGGGTGTGAAAACACTGTCCATCACTCTCTTTTTTTGGCGTGAGTTGCAGTCTCACCAAATATCAGGTTTTCTTGACTTGTCTTATGCAAGCTGTGCAGGTTGTAGTGAAAATTTCCCCTTGTCAAGCGTTACTTACCTGTCGGTGTGTTTCACGGATCGAAAAGTGCGTTTAGAGGGAGTGATCGTGCATTTGTACGTCTACATTGAATTGTGTAAGAAACCCGTCATATGACAAAAGTGTGTGTTTGGGCGGAGCGTGCTTTTGTATGGCATGCGTTTAGGCGGAGACTACTGTACTTTCAAAGAAAGCAGTGTGTGGTTGTCAAGTATGCCAGAACGTGGATTTTGTTTCAAATTTAACATATTTTGGTATAATTTTAACTCGTTATTACAAATTTAACGCATTATGGTATACTTTTGACTATGTTATTAGAAAGTCAGCTCATTTTGGTGTAATTTTGACTCGTGTTATTACAAATTCAACACGTTTTGTTACAGATTTAACTCCAATTGATACAATTTTGATTCGTCTTTTGACAAATTTAACACATTTTGTGAACACATTATGTCACATTTCCGTTGTTTTCAGATTGGTGGGTACAGCTCAAACGGCCTGTCCCTTGACCTGTCACTCTACGGCGGCGGTCGCTCCCTGGAGAGCGGTGCTGTGCCGGCCTCCATCTGTGCTCTGGGCTCCACCTGTACCTGTCAGCTGCCAGGAGGACAACAGTGGGACTACTCACCCGCGCCCATACTGGATCCTTCCAATGTGCAGGTTAGCAGTTTAGTTTTAGTAAGAGTCGACAAGAGTTTTACGGCACTCACAGCACGATTAGATCATTTTCGTGCTGAAGACTAGAGGTGTTGCAAGAGAGTAACCACAAAAAAGGGGTGAAAGGAAAGAAGGAGAAATTCATAGACTACTCACCAAGATAACATTACTACGCCATGTGTTTAGTTTAAGTAGAAGTTTTATGGCATTTGCAACACAATTTGGTCATATAGGCTTAAGAGCTAAAGTTTATAGAGATTTAACAAAAGAGTAACAAACACAAAACACATCTCTCTCTCTCCATCTCTCTCTCTCTCTCCATCACTCTCTCTTTTCTCTTCCTCTCTCTCCCTCATCTTTCAGTCTGTCTGTGTGTCTGTCTGTGTGTCTGTCAGCCTGCCTGCCTCTCTCTCTCTATCTCTCTCTCTCGTTCTCGTTCTCGTTCTCTCTCTCTCTCTCTCTTTCTCTCTCTCTCCCTCTCTCCCCCTCCTTCCCTCTCTCCCTCTTTGTTTTCTTTACTCCTGAATTAACTTTCACTTTCTCTATATCCCCAGGTGGGAGGCACCTACAGAGATCCAGAGACAGGCGAAGCTGTGACCGTCACAGGAATACCTCAGACCTCCGACCGCTTCAACAAAGCATGGGGCATAATCCTAGCCATCCTGGCCGCCATTGGTGCCGTTATCTCCTTCGGATTATTCGTCTTCCTCCTCATCATGTACCCGATCCGAGGTGGAACTTCCATTTTAGGATTCATCTTGGCTTTCGGAATCGTCCTGCTGTATCTCATGGTTTTCCCATTTATCGCCCACGCGGATGAGCGTATCTGCGGTTTGCGACGTTTCTCGCTAGGGGTGGTGTACGCGTTGGTGTACTCGGCCCTGCTGGTGAAGCTTGTGGACTGCTGGAGGGTGCGAGGGAAGGGAGAGAGCTACAACGTCAAGTATAGCAAGCTGGGACGTCCGGCCGGGCTCTTTATGGTCACCATCTTCTTGGTTTTGGTGCAGGTGAGTTTTGTTGGTGTTTTGGGGGTGTTTTTGTCGTTGCTTTTTCAGTTGTTTTAACATGACACATCCTTGTAGATGGCCTGAATTGTATCTAGAGGGGTTTGCACTTTGTCTACTCTAACATTTTGTATATGTGGTGGATATCTTTGACAGTGTCGTTGTAATGGAAAAGAAAGGCAGGGGGGGGGGGGGGGGAGTGAGAAGTGGCAGGTTTTACTTCATAGGTACAGACACACACATAGATACAGACACACACATGTACAGACACACAGATACACACACAGACACACACACACACACACACACACACAGGCACGGACACACAGATAGACGCACACAGACACACACACACAGACACACACACAGGCACGGACACACAGATAGACACACACAGACACACACACACAGACACACACACACATGCACAGACACACAGATACATACACAGACACACACACAGACACAGACACACACACAGACAACACACAGACACACGCACAAACACACACACAGACACATCCACACATGTACGGACACACAGATAGACACACACACACACAAACACACACAAACACGCTCAAACACACACAAACAAGCTGGAGATAAAAGAGTTAGAAGTAAATGTGTTAATACATATCTTGTCAGATGTGTTTTGTGTGAATAAATGCGTCAATACATTGTCTTGTCAGATGTGTTGTGTGTGAATAAATGTGTCAATATGTGTCTTGTCTGATGTGTTGTGTGTGATAAAATATGTCATGTCCTTGTCAGATGTGTTGTGTGGGATGAACCCTATCCATTCATCGTGTTTTACTATCCTATTCATACGACGTGGGGAACTCTGTGCCTCCACTTTCAAAGAGAAAATTTACTCGTTAATCTGATCCGTACGCTTTGCATAGCAGTCTGTCAAAATGATTTTTTGAGAAATACTGAAAGTTTCAAAGAGATCTTATTAAAAGTATTTTAAAATGTGAAGAATACAACCACGGGGGTACCAAATGACCCCAGGGCGTACGTGTGTCAATACATGTCTTGTCAGATGTGTTGTGTGAATAAATACATCACTATATTGTCTTGTCAGATGTGTTGTGTGTGAGTAGATGTGTCAATATATATGTATCTCACCATCAGGTGATGATCAACGCCGAGTGGCTGATCCTTCGACCCCCTGATGTAGTGCGTGTGTTCTACGAAGAGCAGTTCTGGCCTCGCTGCAGCACGCACGACTTCTACGACGAAAGTCTGGTTCTCTCCCTTGTCTACGTCATGGTCCTCATCGTGCTCTCGCTTGTCCTGTCCCTGCTGACCTTCACCTCGTGAGTATCGTGACCAGGTTTTCAGGCTATCCAACTGTCTCAAATTTCCCAGGACTGTCCTGGATTCGGCAGTTGAGAATTTTAGAGCCTTACCACATGCACTTCACTTCACTTCACTTCCCCAAATCCTGATCCATTTGATTTAATTTTGTTCTTTGTTACATAATCTTATATTAAACCTTCAGGTGTCCAGGGTTGGGTTTGGAAAAAGTTGGCAAGCCTGGGTTTTACACCACTGATTGTTTTTAGCCTTGGAG